ATTTTTTAAATGCCAACCTGTATAGTCATTACATTTGATATTATAGATGTATATTTTTAGCTATAGAAAAACTCTATATTATTGAATTAAAAATTCTATTATAAAACATATTATTGCCATCTGATTCAGAAATCATGCTTCATGGTATTTACCCAGTGGAGTTGAACAATTATGTCCATGCAAACACCTGCACATGAGCGCTTAAGACTGGAAAGCAACCAAGATGTCCTGCGGCAGGTGAATGGGTCAACCACAGCACATCCTGACAGTGGAATATTACTCAGCACTAAAAAGAAATGAACTATCAAGCCATGAAAAGACCCGGAGGAATCTAAAATGCATATTACTAAGTGAAAGAAGCCAATCTGAAAAGGCTCCTTTACTACATGATTCCAATTACATGACATTCTGAAAAAGGCAAAACTATGGAGGCAGTAAAAGGATTAGTGTTACCAGTGGGATGGGGAAGGATGAATGGTCAAAGCACAGAGGAGTTTTAGGGAGGTGACAATACTCTTTATGATACTGTAATACAGGATGCCTATCATTGTACATTTGTCCAAACCCACAAAATGTACAACACCATTAATGAGCCCTAATAGGTACTGTGGACTTTGTGTTGCTATGATGCGTCACTGTAGGTCCATCAGCTGTAACAGGAACTCCTGTGGTAGGAGATACTGATAATGGGGGAAACCGTGCATGTGTTAGGGAAGGGGGCATGTGAGAAATCTCTGTACCTTCCTCACAATGTTGCTGTGAAACTAAAGCAGCTCTAAAAATATATATATATTAAATTACAAAAATAATCAATTACAAATGAAGATGTGCTGTATCTTGTAAAACGCATGTCAAAAACAATCAGCAATGAGGGAAGAATAGAACCTAAAAACCCAACAGTAATTATTACCTTTCTTCTTTTTTTTTTCCTACTGTTTGATTTGTTTCTGTAATAAGTTTGTATTACTTTTGCAATTAAAAACAAGTTATTTCCCAATAACAAAATAAAACAAAACCAAAAAAAGCCACACTAGTCTGATAATTATGATAAAGATCTCATGGAAAAGAGCTGATATATTAGAATATTAAGTAATTAAGTTATATAATTCAATATTACTCAATACATTAATGTTATACTTCATGTTAATAGTTTAAATAAAAACTTAGGATCATAATGGCATTAGTGGCTGAAAAGTTACTTGATAAACTTGGGACAAGTAGCTAATTATTTTAGAAACAATCAGAAAGCAATCTCTCTACTTCAGATCATTCGCCAAAGTAAATCACAGGTATGTTTTTGTAATTAAGACCATAAACAACAATACGAAATAAGAGTAAAAAATTATATAATCGTTGAAATAGGGAAAGTTTTTCTAAATGTCAAACCAAGTGTCAATATTCTAAAAGGAAATTGAAATAGTTGACTTTGTAAATGTAAAAAGCTATTTTACAACTAAAACAAAATTAAATCTCTAAGAAAAAAATTAAAGACAGTGATAATTGTACTCTGTATAACATCATTACAAATAAACAACAGTGTGATCACTTACAAAAGAAGAGATATAAATTAGCATTGAATATATAAAAAGACTTAACTTTTTAATTTATAATCAAGAATGAAAATTGAAATTATAGTAAATAATATTTAGATTGTCAAGCTGTCAGAGATGGAAAAAAACAAAGATAATCATTTCTGGTGAGGGTTTAGGAAATGTGATCATCTCAGTATCTGATGGGGCAATGCAAATTTGGAAAATCTTTCTGGAAAGTGATTTAGGATAGCATATGTCAAAATCCTTAAAAATATGCATATCCTTTGATCCAGTCATTTCACTGCTAAGAACTGAATTTTCCTGGAGGTGTGTTTGTAAAGATAAAAATTCATGCAGCTTTGCTTATCATAGCATTTTTAAAAAATGGAAAACAAACTGTTTACCAAAAAAAATAACTGAGTACCTTTTGATATATCCCTATTAAATAATACTATAAAACCATTAAACATTGTTTTGTCATAAAAACTTTGTTATCTAAAAATATATGGCAAACAGATATTAGGCAAACAGAAAGCATAGCAAGCCACTTAGCAGGCTCTGGAACCCCAAAACCCAGGTTTGGCTCCCAACTCTACCTTTTATTACCTGTATATTCCTAGGCAAATTATTTAACTTTTCTGATTCTCAGTTTAGTCATCTAAAACAGAAATGATAGTCATCTCAGCAAATTGTTTTGAGGGATAAATTAGTTCATAAATACAAAGGAACAGTGCTTAATATGCATTAAGTGCTAAAAAAGTTTATTGTTATCAATAAGTATTATAGATTTAACTTAAAATGTAACCTTTATCATAATGCTCTTCCATATCAATGACATAGAGTGGCTTCTAGAGTGTAGAGATTAAATCAAAGCACTTTCACTTACCAGAAAACTCACCCTGTTTTAAAGAGTAAACATACAATTCCTTGTGAGTGGAAATATCCAGATGCCTTCTGCCTCTCCTGTGGCACTTCTCTCAGGCACTCCTGCTAGATGTGGATCTTTAACTGCCTTCTTATCTTTCTGGCATCAGTGTCCCAAAGCTGTTCTGATTACTAGAACCAAGCCCTTCCTCTACTCAACTAGACTGCACCTGGCCTTCAACACTCATAGGTCAAGTTTCCGAAATAGATCTTTCTCTCCCCTCTCCAGACTGTGGAAATTATCTAAAAAAAATTCTGACATTAAATCCTACATCATATCCAGACCTTGACTGTTCAAAAATAAATAAATAAATAAATCCTACATCACATTTTCTGGCTCTTACTACCCACTTCCCTAGAGATATGATTATCTGATTTCCCTTTTTAAAAAGTCCCCAAGAATGGACACAGTGTGCCTTCCTTCCCTCAAGACTCTTCTTAGTACTCAGTATCAAATTCTACATATATACAGATTTAGCCATGCATTTACAATATAAATTTAAAGCACACCAATACTTAAATGTACATTCAGACTTATGGCATCTGTGGTCCAATCTGTAGGAGTATTAGTTTCTCAGGAAGCAATTTCAGAAGGCTTCCAGACTGATTTTGATTGAGATGAAGGGCCCAGCCTCACACAATAGCAGGAATCAAATGGGAAATTTGTGAAATAAGATGCCTTCCTGAGATTTATGTCATGCTGTTCCCGTCTTTACAGAATCCACAGATATTTTTTGTACATCACAGAACTGTACTCTCATATAAAAATGAAGGTGGAGAACATTTCAGAAAGAGACATGTGCAGTGTGCATTAGTTCCTAAGTTGTCTGAAGGCTTAGGAAGTCAGAAAATAGTCTCTGTTTAATCAGAACAAGTTTTCCCATCACTTTCTTAAATAATTTTATATACCTGGTGGTTGCAAGGACCCCAAGAATTTCAAAGCCTAGCAAAATGTGATCAACTATCCAAAAAATTCTTCAGTATCGCTCAGACTAATTACAAATAACTTTCCATTTATCTGATCCAAGTGACAATATCAAATCATATTATGTTCATGTGGGAAGTAATTGAAAGGTAACTCTTTAGCTCTGAATTCAAAAGTTGGTCAAAAGTCTAATATGTCCACAACCTATATCATTTTGAGAAAGTGAAGAAAATTACATTTTTCTATCTTTCAAATGAATCGAATGGCATCTTTTATAGTATTTGTAAGGTACCTGGGTTTCTACTATGATGTTGAAGGAACAAATTAAGAGCACAAAGTTCAGAGATACAATGTGGCAGATTTCAAACCAGAGGGCTGGGTGCCATCTTTTTTTTTTTTTCAAATAAGGATTGAAATAATAGGAGAAATACATAGATATAGATGGGTGAATACAACTGAAAAAAGAAGGCGATGTAAAGCAGTATTCCAGATAAACAGTAGTTATGGATCCATTGTCTATGAATCCATCCTTCCATCTATTAATTAATTGATTTTCTTAAAAAAAGTTTTATTGAGCAACCTTTGTGCATGCTAGGTTCTGTTCTAGGAGCTGAACAAGCAGTGTAAACAAGGCAGACACAGTACCTGAGCTCACAGAACTTATAGTCTGACAAAGGAAGAGCAGATCTGATGGACTCATTCATTAATCAGGAATTAATAAGGAAGCACCAGATGTCACTAGAATGGGAATGTCTTCGGGAAACAGGAAAAATTGTTGCCTTCTCTTAGGACACTTTCATTTTTCTACTTCTATATTTGTTTTACCTCCCAAAGGAAAAATGTGAGCCCCTCAAAAGTAGGGTCTCTATGGGATCCATCTCCTTACTACGTAACACTTGGCAGAGTTCCCTGACTTATAAACTGCGAACAACTACGCCCAGGCAAATGCATTTTACTGTTATATTTGCCATAATTATTGAGTATATGTTAAGTAAACATTTTTATGCAAAAAATTCCTATAATTGGCTCTACTTTTGCAGCACTCAGATGTTCCAGAATCCCCAGAACTCTGGCTACCATACTGACCACTCTGTGTCACATTGTCAGTTTTCCTTTCAGTTCTTTCTCTGTTTTACCCCATGAGATTCCTTCTTGCTCCTCGTGTACTCCTGCAACACTGCCAATTAACTATGTTGATGTCCTTCTAATTATTTGGCTCCTTTTTCTTCTGTTGTATTTGATGACCCTGTTCAACTGAATTCAATTCAATGCAATTTAATACAATGCAATTACTATTTGAGTAATTACTGTGTACTGGATACAACTATCACTTCTGTTTAGAATACTCTAAAAGCCAGCCATCAGCTACATGATGGATCTGATCCACAAGCGTTTATTGGTAATCACCTCCTGGGTAAACTACAATCTTGTCATTCTCAGCATTTCTAAAATTAAACTTACCCACTTTACTCTGAAAATAAAAACCTATCTACTTCTTACTTAGGTTAAGGTAATGAATGCCACCGAAGTCATCAACGTATAAATCATTTTGTTGAATTTAACTATTTCCTTAAAATTCCCCTGTAATAAAACTTACTTTTATTCTACGTACAACTTACCTGTAATCACAAAATGCTTTTAACTTGCCTGATCATCTTTACAATCTCTTCCACTCCAAGCTCTGCAGCATATAGTGCTAAGTAATAAAAGTAAGTTAAGCTTAATGACATTCAACTCCTACAGAAGTACAGGCAGATCCCTCAGTTTGGGTCATACTAACTTGGAGGGTAATACCTTCATGTCATTGTCTCTTGTGTACTACTCTTAACCATGTGTCTACATGTCAGGGTCAATAAAGGTCTTTTTGTCTGCTATGTGATTTCTTGCTTTTAATTTTTTCTCTAACTATTCTCCCCCTTAGGTGTGCCAACCTCTGTCATTTTGGGTCTTAAAGTTTCCACCTTTTCTTTCTACTTTTTAGACCCTTGTTTAAGTTATGTCTTCTTGATAATTATATGCCATGGTGAAAAATAAATTGTAAAGGAGAAAGAAATAAAGAGAATGGTCTTTAGAAACATGCAGACTTGAATTAAATTCTGTACCCGCCATTTTCCTTGTAATTTGATCATAATACCTACTTTGTGTCTTAGAGTTAAGGTGTTTATATAGCATTATTTGACTGATGTTAGTGCGAAAATGAACAGAGATGCTAGGTTTCAACTCTTATGGAATTTTGGAGATTATTGGTTAAAAAATTTACCAGGATCTAGGATGAGTCATTCAAAACATGATTGTGATTCTAAGAAAGAAGAGGTTGCCTAGACAGAAAAGAAAAAAAAGTATATATATATTTTCTCCAACTTCCATTGTAACTTGATAAGTTTGCAAACTTATCAAATTCTGTATTTCTACTTTCACAAACCCTCTACTCCCTGGGATATAATATCTTAATTATGCAGGCACACTTCATTCCTGGAAAACCCTTTGTCCCACCCTCTAACTTGGACATCACCTTATGCATTTATGCTGGGACTGAAATTCCAAGTAATATCATGGCTACTGATTTAAGATGTTAGCCCTTAAATGAGTTGTAGGAATAATGAACTCTATTCATTTTAGATTTTGACAGGTTAATTCTGGCAATGGACTACATGCATATTCCTTAGGCTCCTTTCCATATATTAAAAACAAACAAACAAACAAACAAACAAAAACTAAAAGCACATGAACAAAACCAGATAGCAAAAACACTTTTCATCAGGATTCTAAGACCCTGGAAACATGGGAAACGTTTATGACTATCCACTGAACCTTTAGCTAATGATCTTAGAAGTTGGACAAGTTAAAAAGACCCAGTAAAATCCATGCCTATCCCCACTCAACCATGTACTGCAAAATATTAACCCCAGGATTGACTGCTTTCAATTGAATGACTAAATTAAAAAATGAATGTCTAAGAAAATATCTGACAACATACAATTATATTCAGATTCTAAAGGATAAACTAAAGCTTTAGCAATATTTACACTAGGAAGCAGAGGAAATCTCAGCATCAATGTTGACTTCTCAATAAAATTAAAACAAACACACACAATATACTAAATAAAGAAACAAGGCATATAATTAGGAGAGCTGAAGGCATAAAAATTGCCCAGCTAATCCAAATTTAGTATTTTTATTCTGCTATAGTTTTCTACTGGTTTTGTGTTTGTTGTCATAAAGCTTGGGTTTTCTCAAACTTGATATAAAAAGAGAGTTTTTGTTATTGATATTTGGTAATTTTCTATGCTTTGATTCCTCTGAAAATTTATCCCAACTCTCTCTTCCAGAATTTTCTAAAAGTTTATGTTCTGTACCCTTTATTGTTTTCTAGTGTTTAAATAAATGTATTCTTTCTGAATACTCTTCTGTAATTTCAGTTTAATTTTACTAGGGATAAAAGCTAAGAAAAAAGGGCTCAGTTTGCAATCTTGATCTAACTCTTCTATCATATATTAATTTTGTATGCAAGAAAACAATAAATGTTACTTTTAAAATATTACAATGATTAAAAATAAATTAAAAAGGTAGTCTTTACTTATGTGAAAAAATAGCTATGTAGAACACCTCACTTCCCAGTGATGATCAATATAATGAGGCATTTCTGTGCCATGAAAAGAAAAGCTTGCTGTAGAGAATTGTTTTTGAAACTCAAAGTGCAAATTCTTTAATTTTTCATAATTTGTTTTTTCTACTTTATGCTGCTCTAAAAAGAGAACTGTAGGGTTTTGTTTTTTTTAACAAGATCTGTAATAACATAGTAAATATATGTGGCTCTCTTTCATGGGTATCAGGGTCAATATTTAATTTAAATATCAAATATTTATTATGCCACAATTGGGGAGACAGTAGCAAACTATCAGTTCTAACACAGTATTTCAAATCCATTCCAAACTGAAAAGAACTATAGTGCTAATATTATTTGCAAAACCTTTGCCAAATGAGATTAAAGTATAAGCCATATTAAAACATTTGATGTGCACTGTAGCTAAATATGTCTTTAGAAAATTTTGCATTCTCTATATCCCACTAATAAAAATCCATATCAGTATTATTGATCAGTACCAGATATATAAAGACAGGAATAAACAGACACTTATCTGATATTTACCTCTAGCACATTACTACCATTTATTGTAGTTACCTGTTTACATATATAGGTATGTGTACATATGTACATACACACACACACACACACACACACACACACGTATCTTGTTGCCTTGTTCACCTTTCCCTACAATAACTAAAGTATAATATTCCAAATACTGTCTTCTTGTACTAAATCCTACTCCCACCCTGTTCTTCACTCTGTATGATACAGGTTGGAAGACTGGAAACTACAATTTGGATGCCTTTACCAGTTGGATTCTGATTACATCCCACCATCAGAAGTATCAGATAAATGATAGAAAAATTGGGGCTGATACCATTTGTAGGTTGGGGTGAAGAATTAATTCTGCTTTCTCACTTTTGCCTCTCTATAGTTTTGGGAGGAGGCAGTTAGGTATTTGCACAACTTTCTGATCTCTGGGTAGCTAATCATTTCCTAGTATTCCCTATAACCCTTTCCAGCAATTTGTAAATATGTTTCTGCACCAACTTTGGTTGTTTGTTTGTTTGAAGTTCTTATAATTGTTTCTGTATTTTTGACTGGACTCTGACAATTATATATAATAAATGCATGAACTACATTGGTTGGATGAAGAAATACACTGGAACCGAGTTGTGAAGTTCTCTGCAGGGAAGCATGAGGAGTCCAGATTAATACGTTCTCAGCTGAGTCCATTCCACTGGATCCACTTGAGGAACAACTTAACTGCTCTGTTGTAGATGTCAGTCTTACAGCCCAAGTGGTGTAGAAGATAAACAGTTCATCTTTATGCTCACTATCTAATTGCACCTCATCCAGCTGATTTCTTGGGGATATCAGCTCTCAAAGATCGCCTTTTGTCACCGCCTGGATACTGCTTACTTCTATGTCCATAACAGATGTGGCCTTTACGTGGCCTTCATATCACCAAAAAGCTTGAAGGATATAGACAAAAGTGACGTGCCCTTTGAAGTAGTATCTTTACTAAAAGCAGGATTGGTTTCAGATGAGATGTCATATTTGTCATGTGCAGCATTGCCTGCCTGATCTACTTTGTCACATTACTTCTTCCAGTGTGTGTCACATTATGTAAGGTCATGCCATCGGAGATAACAATGAGACACTCTATTACCAGAGCAACAGCACATGGTGGCCACAGATTCAAAAAGACTATACAGTCCTGGGAAACACATGAGCTGGATCTTATAGCACCAAGTCCTGTAGCCACCATAAAAAACAGACATCCTATTTTTCCAAGAAGGAAAAAAAAAGTCAATTGACTTGAAGAAATCATGAAGTAACATCCCAGGGGAAACAAGCCCATCAGTATTGAATTTTGAGCTCCAATGTCTTGTTGTAGAAGTGCCTCTTTACATTTTGCTCTCACTCTTAGCAGTGGCAGTCATTCTCGATAAATTGTGCCGTGGTGCTTCAGCACCAGACAAATTTGCAGAAGCATCTTTATAGATTTCAGAAAGATCTTACATTTAAAGAGATAAGATAGTCTAGGTCTTGCCACTTTGATTCATATTTAGAATCAGAACAAATTTCCAGTTGCCTGTGGAAGACACATTTCTCTAAATCGATGTCTGGAATTGCTAAATAAATTTCAAAGAATAGGGTTTTTTTTGTTTTTGTTTTTTTTTCCCCCTGACCTCATTTGAATGTCTAGACATTTGTGGCTTATTGAATTTCAACCATCTGAAACATCAAGACAATGTTTTCCCAGACAAAATTTAACCTGTAGATTAAGAACACAATCAAGAATTGTAAAATCAGAGCTTCAGTGCCAGGCTTGGTGGGGGAGAACTAAAAAGTAGAAGAAAAAGAAATGATGCCATAAAAACTTTCCAAATAGATGAGAGGAAAAAAAAAAGGGGGTCACAGACAATCAGAGAACCATCACTGACCAATTTATTGGTGCTGATATTAAGGCAAGAAGGTATGCAGGAAGGAGGGGGAAATCCAAGAAAGCTAATGTAATTGGGAAAAGGGCTAATTGCACCTATTCTTAGATAATCCATGTTTACATGGAAACATGTTTCACATTCAGAGGGTTCTCATCAATTTTCCTTCATTTGAAATTCAAACTATTTTAAGCCTGTTTTATTCTATTAGTAATTGCTATTAGACAGTAATTTAAAAAAAAACTATATAATATGATGGCCCATAGGAAGAGGTTATATCAGCATAGCTGGAACGGGAGACAGGGATTCCTTCCCCATTTTCTCCTTGCAAGAAGCAAATTGCCACAAAGACAGTCCAGTGGGAGGGGCCTCTTGAAGGGGTGAGGGTCTCAGCCTGTTGGAAACCCTCACAAATTATTTCCTGTTTTTAACAAGTATCTCCCTGATTGTGAGAAGAAAAAAAATGCAATTTCCCTTCTAGCACATATTTAACCATCATATTTGTGCATATGATTGCAGCTCTTCTGAAAGGACTTGGAATGAGCTGCCAGGCTGCAAGGGATTGAATCGAAAGCCCCCTAACAGTTAAAGTGTCCATTAGCTTCTCTACAGTTAGCATCCGTCAGAGAGAAGAAGGGCTGGAAGCCCCGGGCGAAT